TATATATATATAATAAAATCAGTGACACCAGTAACTGTATTTAAACCTAACGTTACCCCGACGAAATATACGACGACGGTATGTAACCATGTCGACCCAACGATCTCTGCGCGCGCGCGTGTGTGTGTGTGTGTGAGGGATCGAAGGAGGAATCGAAGCGCTGTCCAATAACACCCTCGATCTCTTGATCACGCCGATGTTTCTGACGCCGATGCGAAGAAAGGTGGTCAAATATCTCACCCCGCTGTTTTATTCGTCGACGGTGTTCGTCATTAAGAAAGTTCCCGTCATAAGGGACGAGCCCGTCAACGTGCTGCGACCGTTTGACACGCACATATGGATTCTGCTGCTCGGCTTTGCCATGGCGATGCCGCTGCTGTTATACGGTGGCTGCCGCGGTCGCGAGACCGCGCCACCGTCGCGGACGTCAGAGAGACCAGAATCGTCTCCCATCTCCGCTACACATTTGGTGCGTTATTCCAACAAAGTAAGACGACAGGTTGCCATAGGAACTTCCTATGCTAGCCGCTAGATGGCAGCGGTTAAGTTAAATCACAGACGAACGCAGCAGCCGGCTGAAAGGGGTGATAGGAGCCTAAGCTGCTCGTGCCAGTAGTTGTTAACGGAACTCTCTTCGTTGTTCACAGCTAATACTCTATACTAGTTGACAATGTGATTTATATCGCCGCGCTGTTTCGATGCAGGCACCACGTTCCTGCCATCGCGGACTCCGGTCCGTATTCTGTACGCCACCTGGTGGATATTTTCGTGCATCGTGGCCGCCACGTACACGGGTACATTCGTCAGCTTGTTCTCCGTCGTTGGCCCGACGCATTATCCGTTCTACTCGACAGAAGAAGAGTGGGCAAGCGAAGAAGAGTTGCGAGTAAGTGCATGCCAAACTTCACGACAGATGACGCTCTTGCTCTGGCTCAATTCACCATACCTGAAATCATATCTTTTTGGTATCCTGAGTTGTAAGGGGGCGCCGCATGCAGTTTTTAACCCAAAGCAGTGATATTTGTGAGACGTC